CTCTCTCTCTCTCTCTCTCTCTCTCTCTCTCTCGCTCTCGTGCTATTTATTGTTGTCAATCAATATCAGTTGAATTACTTTGTAATGATAAATATTAGTAGTATATATTTAATATAACTAATATATCTCCCATTATAATTTAATACATACATATTATCAACAAAGTACCACCATTTTGGTGGCCTTATTAATGATACATATTAATTAACAATATCTAATTGTATAAAACTTTTAAAATATACCTACTAATTATAGACAATAAAATAATAAGCTTCATCTTAATGAATTATTATAAAGAGAAATAAAAATGATTAACTTTAAAACTCTTATTAAACTTTAAAGCACCAAATCTACACTAACTTTTATATGTAGTTTAATACCAGACACAAATTATAATATAAAATTTAAGTTAAATTTAATAATAAATACTGCACCAATTATATATATTGTGCTAATATATTTGTTATCAACATTGTTTCATTAATAGGCATTTTGTTTTGAAAACATGCACATATGTTTATAATTCAATATTATGTAAAATTAATTAAATTTGTTACATAAAATATTTAAGTTAAAATAGAACGTTATTAATTTAAACAATTAATTTTATCATAATAAACTGTATATTTATTTAATTTTATCTATTACATTAATCTTATAGCAACAAATTATCTAGTTTCCAGATTTTACACCTTATTGTATGTCAAAGTCTGCATTGGATATGTTTACTAAGTGTATGGCCGCCGAGTTGGGGCCTAAACGCATCCGGATTAACGCAATCAAGTTAGTAAATATTATACTAATTTATTAACTACATTAATTACATAAGATCCATGCTCAATTTAAATAGTCCGGGTCCTATTGACACAGGCTTTTTCACAGCCATGGGCTCATCACGTGCTGACGCCGACAAACTATTTGAAGCCATTGCCAATATATTGCCTGTCGGTCGCGCCGGTCTGTCCGCCGATGTGGCCAATAGTATCCTATACCTGGCGAGTGACCATGCTGCTTTTATCACCGGAACTAACCTAGTCACCGATGGCGGGCCGTTGCATCAAATCAAACAAGTTCAGATAACCTTAAGAATATTCTATAAAATATTCAGTAATTAATTCTATTTAAATTGTATTGCGTTTACTACTTCATGGACGTAATGTTTAAAATATTTTGCATACTCTGGACATACTATTTAATTTCTGGACATCTGGTCACCCTAATCAGTACCCGTGCCATTAGTATTGCCCAATTCATTTCATTTCTCTTTAATGATAACTTTTCCGGTGCTTCGACTCCATTGCCGTATCGCTCATACCGTGTGACTATAATATCCATAGCCGCCTATTTTTCTTCCCGTCCACAATATATCACATCTAAGAGTCTTATTATTATATTTAATACATATTGTGTCAGTCAATCTCTCTCTCTCTCTCTCTCTCTCTCTCTCTCTCTCTCTGTATCTCTGTATCTCTTGATAAAAGTAAGAAGTACTTTGGAACACAACTAAATGAACAAATAAATACAATAAAAATACAATAACGCAAAAATTACATTTTAATAAAATAATTTAAAATTTCATATTACAAATTATTGCATGTTTAGCAGCAATTTGTGTCAAATCTGATTATAGCGCTGACCCTAAATACTTTTCAAGTAATTTAGCCAATAACACGGTAAACGATTTATATGTAGCCGCCGGGTAAGACTCTTTCATCTCGCACTTTGTGTCCACCTTAACTCCAAACACGTGCTCAGTTCGGTTCAACATTGCCGGATGGAGTTCAATACGTCTGTGGGAGAACTCCCTGAACCCATCGATGTCGTCGTGCATATCAATCACTTTAATCCAGAAGTCACGGCTAACGCTGTAATTGTTTTATTGGCATAAATAAACATATTATCATAATTTTATTTATTAACATTAAATTCTAACATTTACTAGAGTCTAGTAATTGTAATAGTAATCAATTAATTTGACAATCAACTCGTAATTTATGGAGTATCTAAATTAGAAACCTCCTGGTCCTCCTCTTCTAGTTAATTATCTGATTTAAATATTATTTTATTTATAAAGATCAATAAAATAAATCATACCATATTATTTCGCCCATGGCAATTCTTGACTGCTTCGTAGCATCTTCAAGGTATCCAAGATAACGGTCGCGTAGTTTTTTAGTGTCGGCCAGTTTAGCGTTTATAATCGGCGTGTATTTCAGCATTTTGTCCTCGGGCAGTTTGCAGAATATGTTAATTTTCTCATAGAATTGAATGGTGGGACTTTCTAGAATCACTTCCCGGACTTTTGGTTTGAGGTACCCTGCCCATTTCAAGCCGGTTACTATATCCCAGAAACTGCATTATATAATTAAATAGCAATTTATTATTATATTATGTATTATAGTATTAGTGTAAAGGACTCGTCAACATCCCCGCCTTATAATCATTACTTTATGCATTTATATATAATTACTTGGTTAGTTTAGTTTTTTACAAATATAAATATATTTTAAAAACAAATTTAATAAAATACAATCAGTACAGTACTCACAGTCTACCCGTGCCCATAGCATTGCCCAATTCATTGCACTTCTCTTTAATGATTTCCAACTTTTCCGGTGCTTCGACTCCATTGCCGTATCGCTCATAACTGGCGGCTATTATATCAATGGCCGCCTCTTCCTCTTCCCGTCCACAATATATCACACCTGAGATTCATATCATTATATTTATTACATATTATTATATCAACCAATAGTTCTCTCTCTCTCTCTCTCTCTCTCTCTCTCTCTCTCTGTAATTATTTTCATAATTATTAAATTGTATAATAAACTAATAATATTTTAAACTTTAAATGGCTGACAACTAGTTTTACATTAACCAACGTTGAAATTTAAACACAACATTCGTGTTTTTAGTAGCATAATGTCATTTATAAGTGTATCTAAAAATATATTACTTTGTAATGATAAATGTTAGCTATAAATTCCCCATTATAGTATAATATGAATTAACCAAAATAGTAATAGGCTTAGTGAAAAGGAGTAATGTTAAAACCCATTCATTCAACTTATATAAATCAACCATATACTTGCATTATTAGCAATTTATATTAAGAATATACATTTACATATTACAATAAATTGTTTAGAAAAAAAACTTTATCAAGAGGTTTTAATATTGTTATAAAACTCGTATAAATATTTGCATTTAATGTAATGAATGGGTTTTAACATTACTAATTTTTACTAAGCCTATTACCATTTCGGTTAATTCATATAAAGTATATATTACATATTATGTATATATATATTATCAACACCGTACCACCATTTTGGTGGTCTAATTAATAATACATATTAATTAAAAATATTTAATTGTATAAAATTGAAAATATATATACATACCAATTATAGACAGTAAAATAAAGAGCTTCATCACTAGTCAATGAATTATTAGAGACAAATAGAAAACTAATTAACTTTAAAACTATTATTAAGCACCACCTTGACACTAACTATTATATGTGATTAAATGCCAGTTGTATAAATTATAACATTAAATTTTAAATTAATTTAATAATAAAAAAGTGCGTCATCTATAAATTTTAATTAAATTTTAATTAAAATCCAATATATTTTCACATTCTTGATCTGTAATGTAAACCATAACTTATGGTCCATAAGATGTCATTCTAGGAAAGTAATATTTTATATGTAAAGATATTTCTGCTCATCTAGACGCTCTGTCTTATAGAAATTCATTACTCGACTTACGTTTGTCTTATTTTGTTTAATTCAGTTATTAAAAATGGCTCTAGGTTTATATTGATGCCTATCGTATAAGTAGATAGATTATTTGCTAATATGATTAATAGAAATTTTGAGTTGTTCTAAAAATAAAATGAAGGTAATTTTTGTAATTTAAACTAACTTTTAAATTTAAGTTTATGATAAATTATATAACTTTTTGTTGATAAGTTTTATACATGAATAGCTTAATAGTTTTAAAAAGTAAATATTATTTTAACATTTTATATTTTGTAAAACTTTCTGTTAACTTAATCCTTAAACATTTCAAAACATTAATACTATTATTATTTTACATTTCTTTAGTTTTGAACTACAAAACAATAATAATTCTAATCAATTACAATTGACAATGACCTTGGTTAGCGCACTTTTATATAAGTATATAAATACTTAATCATAAAATTATGTTATGTATTAAATTGTTAAAAAAGTTTAATAATTTTTAAAAATAACTACAATGTCTATTAAATTTGATTTCACGGGTAAAGTAGTGTTGATAACGGGCTCGAGTTCGGGCATCGGTGCGGCCACTGCTGTCCAGTTCGCCCAATCGGGTGCCAGTGTTGTGGTCACCGGTCGTAGAGCCGACAAACTCGCAGAAGTGGGCGAACAGTGTCTAAAAGTATCGCCGAAAGGGATTAAAGCACTGGAAGTGACGGCAGATGTGACCAAACGGGAAGACATGCGACGACTCGTCGACCAGACTATCAAACATTTCGGTAAACTTGATATTCTGGTTAATAACGCCGGCGCCGGGATTTTCACCCGTATCGACGACACAGACTTTTACGACAAGTTTGAGGCAACAATTGCTACAAATCTTAATTCTGTGGTCTATTTAACACATTTATGTGTCGAGTATTTGGAGATAACAAAAGGAAATATAATTAATATCTCAAGTATTTGCGGATTGAGAGCCGTATGTATTTATTTAATTTGATCTATTACAGTAATCTTATAGCAAATAATTATCTAGTTTCCAGATTTCACACCTTATTGTATGTCAAAGTCTGCTTTGGATATGTTTACTAATTGTATGGCCGCCGAGTTGGGGCCTAAACGCATCCGGGTCAACGCAATCAGGTGAGTAAATATCATACTAATTTACTAACTAGACTAATTATATACTATCCATGCTCAATATAAATAGTCCGGGTCCTATTGACACAGGCTTTTTTACAGCCATGGGCTCATCACGTGCTGACGCCGACAAACTATTTGAGGCCATCGCCAATATATTGCCTGTCGGTCGCGCAGGTCTGTCCGCTGATGTGGCCGATTGTATACTATACCTGGCCAGTGACCATGCTGCTTTTATCACCGGAACTAACCTAGTCACCGATGGCGGGGCCGTTGCATCTAATCAAACAAGTTCAGATAATCTCAAGAATATTCTATAAAATATTTGGTGATTAATTTTATTTACATTATATTTTGTTTACTTTGAAAGTTTAGTACTTAACTAAATTATTTGTAAATGTCAATCCGTGTAACTTTGTCAATAAAAAGTGAGATTAACTTTTAAATTATACAATTATACAAAAATATTATTTTTAAAATTTATTTTAAATATACAGTATATAACCTAATCAGTAGATAAGTTTATCAAAGATAAATAATTGCATACAACAATTTTGTCTTTGTATATTGACGATCATATTTAATTGATTAAAATAACATATCTATACAAATTATTATTTGAACATTTATTTGAAAAACAATCCTCATTTAATCATGAGTTGTTAAAGAGCACCAGGTTAATTTATATTGCTATCACGGATTTGCTACTTATAATAATCTAATCATACAATTAAATAATTGAATGGATTAATATATTAAGAATAAACACTTATATCAAAGTAGTATTTAAATAGCAGGTACATTTTACTTCAGTATTGAATAAATCAAATTTACTTGCAATTTTCAGTTTGATTTACTAAATATATAATTATGTTTAATATGAAAGCCGTATTAATAATCGCTTGTTTGTTCGTTTATATATACGGTTAGAATTAAAAAATTATTTACTTTCTAAAAATTTTTATTTACTTTTATAAAAAATCTAAATCAGTAAAATAATTAATTCAGAAAGATCATTTAATAAAACTTTTTATTCTAATTAAAATAGCAACATCAACCGTAACGGCTTTACCACCGGCACTGACTAAACCGCCACTAACATTAATGTCTGCCCTGGACGCCATGGTTACACCAATCGACAAAGAGACCTTGCTGATAAAAGCTGCAAAACTGGACAAAAAGGCCCACGATGAGATTAACAAATTTACCCAAATGAATCGCACGTCATTTGCAGAAAGCATCAAGCTCATGGACACCAAGATGATGGGATTGGTCAATAGACTCAAAATCACATCGGGCAAAATATCAACAATGATGCTCGAGTCTCAACTGTATTGGCTCGAGCGGCAACTGGAAGTAGAGATTGAAGTTACAATGGGCCTTTATTACTGGTTTGATCATGCATCTTTTATCTCATATGCATTTGACATAGTGTTAGACGAACTTATCACCAAGGTGGGCGCCGATCAGCCGGTAGGCAAAGCGCTGGCAGCTGAAAAATTGGCCCTTAAGAAAGTAACGACAAATGTTATTATGGCCAAAAATGCTCGTACTTTACAGCTTTATGAGTTTGATTACGCTGTGGTGATAGAGCGCCTGTGTGCCGAAATAGGTCCATATGTAGTTGGTTTGTGTCATTCATAGTATTTTGTGGTATTCACAAATATTTTGAATTTAAAATAAAAAATTTAATTCGTAATTATTTGTTTTGTAAAATATTTATTTATTATTTTATGAGTTATTATTTATTGGTATAATTCAAAACAGATTTTGTTTTGCAATCCTGACTTAAATAAATTAATTATCATTAGAATGTTACGCTAATAAATAGGATTTTGCAATCACATTGGGTGAAATAAATATTAAACAAACTAATGTTTCACCGTGTAATAATTAAATAATTTTAGAAACAATATTATGTTTACTTTCATTTTGACAAAATTTGCAAATAATATGAATTTGCTAATTATAATTAATATATAACAATATGTATAAAAACACAATATACAATAATTTTGCTAAAAATAAAATAAAATAAAAATTATTTATTTTTGAAATTTTAAACAATGGTTATAAAAATGATAAAACTCACAAAAAAACAAGATCACAACCAAAAGGGACGGGCAATAAGAGTAGTGACCATAAAAATGGGTGACATCGACGACACACCCGACAACGAGAACACCCAATACTACTTCGGTACCATTAGAGACCCGGGCCGACTCACCCAACCCTTACAATTCCCGGCCAGTTTCCACGAGTGGTCGTTCGAGAGGGCCGGACCTCAGTATGAAGAACAGGCCTATGTGTTGGCCCAGACGGGGCCGTACAGCCGGTACCACAGCCTGTGGCTGGAGGAGAGGCACCGCCTACGGCTGGAGGGCGAGCCTATCGCTCGGGTGGACGACAACCGGTTTGACAACACTATATGGCGGGTGAGAGACCTGAACGAAGGCCTAGAGTACGCCATGAAAGTGGCAAATATCAAATACTACGAGCGCCGGAACCGGCAAACCCAAGCCCTCTCTCCCTACGGCTATCGGTTATAGCTATGTTGAGAGAGGCCCGGACTCTTCGCCAATGCGAGCACCCAAATATCATGGAAGTGGTCCGTATGGTCAACATACCGGACCCGATCACAAAGTTTCCCTACGGCTATCACTGTAGTCTAATGGAGCTCATGGACGGCTCGCTGCTGGCGCTTCAGGACCAGTTCCCGACTCGCCGTGACCAAAACGCTGGCCCGCGAGTGGTTACGACAGATAGCCGGAGCCGTATACTATCTGCACAATCGTATGTACGTAACGGGAATAGTATGGGTGGCCCATCTGGCCATTCGCACGGCAAACATACTGTATAGGGTGTGGTCTTCTCGTGCGGCGACGGCGGCGAACACAATGTTCAAATTGGCCGACTTTGAAGAGTGTCGGGCCGGCGAGAGGGGCAGCGCCGACGAACTCCCCGTCAACGCCCGAATCCGCCGTAACACGTCGTCGGCCCCTGAGTTCACGGCACCCCGTGCGGCGCTTATAGCCACCAAACCGTGCGACGTGTACAGTATGGGCTACTTCCTGTTGATGACCCTGGTCGGTCGACAGCCCCGGCCCGATGCACAGAATTTTTTCAAGTACGGGTTGACTCTATTTCCGGATTTACACCTGGCTTACGGCACTGGCCAGGACTCAGTCGAGGTTGAGGACCTCCCCCGGTATGCAGGGCTGGACAATCAGTTGTGTCGTTTGATATGCCAGTGCATTAATCCCCGGCCCGACGCCCGGCCAACCATTACCGATGTGTTGGACAGCGATTGGCTCATATAGACTTAGGCCGCTAAGTAAGTCACGCCCCGGTATTAGAGTTATTAATAAAGCATAGAATTATATGCAAATGCATGTTTTTACCGGTTAGTTATATATGTTTGGGACTTTGGGGGCAAACGAATGACATAATAAGGGATGTTTTGGCGAACTTTTATTTTGCATATAAATGCATATTTAGCTCATAAATGCATATAACTGCATATTTGGTACAAAAGCATCAAAAAGCATGGATTTGCACAAAAATCATAAGTAAAAATTAATAAACTGTTAAAAAATTTACAATCAATTGAAATTAATTTTAGTTTAGGGACAAATATTAGTTTATAAAATAAATGTCTATCTAATTTTCATTAAATAGTAATGTTATAGTATTAACTATTGTGTTTACAACAATTGTTATAGCGTTTTAAACGAAATAATATATTTTTAATTTATATTTTGCTACTAATCACAAATATTTAGATGGATTTTGAAAGCTAAACAACCATTTTAATCATAACATTTTGCTATATTGCATTTAAAATATATTAAATAATATTTATATCACATATTTAAAAATTTATAAGTGCATATTTGAGTGCATATTTTACCATTTTTAAATGCATATTATATGACATATTTGACTGCTTATAAATGCATATATTTCTATGCTTTAGTTATTAATTATGTCACAAAATGAATTGGATGTAAAATAAATTATTTTGTTCACATTTTAGTTGTACAGAATTATAAAATAGTATAAGTTTAATGGGAGGCAAATAAGTATTAGTTTTATTTGTTATTTAAAAGATAATGCTACAAGTAGTTTAATAAAATGATAAATAACTTGCATGATAAATTATCATTGATAATATATTTTGTGCAAATTATATGGTTAAGTCAATTAAAAAATATACATTAAACTAATTAAAATTTCAAATTAATATATAATACAGTATGTATTTAAAACACAATATAATGCTATACAATAATTTTGATTAAAATAAAATAAAATTAAAATAATTTATTTTTTAAAATTTTAAACAATGGTTACAAAAATTAAAAAACTCACAAAAAACAGTAAGTAGTGACCATAAAAATGGGTGAAAACAACGACAACCCGCGCACCCAAACCTACTTCGGGACAATCATAGACCCGGGCCGACTCACCCAACCTTTACAATTTACGGCCCGTTTTTACAACTGGTCGTTCGAGAGGGCCGGAGCTGACTATGAAAACCAGGCGCTGGTATTGGACCTGACGGGACCGTACAGTCGGTACCACAGCCTTTGGCTGGACATCAGGTACGGCATACGGCTGGAGGGAGAACCCATCGCTCGGGTGGCGGATAACCGGTTTGACAACACTATATGGCGGGTGAGAAACGTGCGAACCGATCGCCGGTACGCCATGAAAGTGGCAAATCTCAAATACTACGAGCGCCAAAATCCGCGTACCGGTGCCCTCGACCTACAGCTATCGGTGGCAGCCATGTTGAGAGAGGCCCGGGCTCTCAGCCACTGCGACGACCCAAATATTATTAAAGTGGACCGTATGGTCTACATACCTGACCCCATCACAATGTTTCCCTATGGCTATCACTGTTGCCTAATGGAGCTCATGGATGGCTCGCTGCAGGACCTTCAGACCCGGCGCCCCACTCGCCGCCTCACCGAAACGCTGGCCCGCGTGTGGTTTCGACAGATAGCCGGAGCCGTAGACTATTTGCACAATTATATGTACGGAACGGGGCGGGTATGGGTGGCCCATCTGGCCATTCGCACGGCAAACATACTGTACAAAACTACCGGTAGGGCGACGGCGGCGAACACAGTGTTCAAGTTGGCCGACTTAGAAGAGTGTCGGGCCGGCGATTATGGCGCCGACGACGAGCTTCCAGTTGACGTCCGGGTCGGCCGTAACTGGGCGTCAGCCCCGGAGTTAGGGCCGACACCACGACCCGAGCCCATAGCCACCAAACCGTGCGACGTGTATAGTATGGGCTATTGTCTGTTGATGA